TCTCTATCTTATCTCATCTGCTGGGGTACTCGTAGCACTATATCACTTATCGCAGATCTATTAGAACATTGCTTCTCTCCATGAACTTGTAGTGCGCCTCTGCTAGCAGCCGCCTGGCGCCCGCCTGCCGGGAAGCCGCCCCACCACCTGCCCCGGCACCTGGTCACCGGGAGCTGCCACCAGGCATGGAAGTGTGTGGCCAGCACGTGCACCCCATGCCATGCAGGGCACCCACGCACCCACACGTCTGCGTGCCTGCAGAGGGGGCATGCTTCCTGCCTGCAGCCTTGCGACATGCACGCATGCCCACGGGGGCGGGGAACAGTGCCTTGTCCGGTGCATCAATTTATAAATTGATAAAGTGATAGGTCCCACCCAGAGGAGACTATCCTCTGTGGCTGGGCCTCTCAGCTTGACCCCTCAGCTACCACTCCAACTCGGGCAGGCCATCCCACCGGACTGCCACTCCCAGGTGAGGAAACTGAGGCAGGGATGGGAGTTCCTCAAGGCCACCCGACTTCCTCTCCTCCCATCGTCAAGGGACTCCCAGGCGTTACACTGCCTTAGTGACTATAAGTTTGTCAGAGGCTGGAATTTCCTTCTGGAACATTTCTCCCACTTCTTTCTGCCAGGGTGTCTGGGTTACTCTTTTTTTTTTTTTTTTAATAGTTTAGAGAGAGAAGGGAGAAGGATAGAGAGATGGAAACATTGATGAGAGAGAAACATCAATGGGCTGCCTACTGCATGTCCCCTCCCGGGGATGAAGCCTGAAACCCGGGCATGTACCCTGACTAGGAATCGAACCAGTGACCTCTTGGCGCACAGGACAAGGCACGTTCCACTGAGCACGTCGGCCGGGCATGGGCTACTCTTGAAACCCACAGCTTCAGCATAAATTTTAGGATCAGCTGGTAAGTCCCAAAACAAACAACAGATAAGACATAAACCCTGTCAGGATTTTCACCGGAAGGAGCTGAACGTTCAGATCAAATTGAACTACTGACTGACAGCTGTGGCTCCCCCACCCCAACCCGTGCTTCCCTGGTCCTGCCTGCTTCAGCTGAGGGCGCAGGCCACACCCCGGAACCGGAACCGCTCTGGAGCTCCCTCCAAAGCCTGCGCTGCCCCCAGCCCTGTGCTCTCACCCTCACACCCAATGCCAACAAGTCCTGTGGGCTCTGCCTTCTAATTTATCTAGAATTCTCACCCCTTCCCAGTCCGCTCCCTGGTCAGCCCCCATCAACTCCCATGTGGACCAGCTCAGTACCCTCCATCCACCCTGGTTCCCTGGCTCCTGTCCTTGCTCCCCTCAGCCCATTTCCCCCCAGCAGCCACCAGAGGGCCTGTGTGAGCACCTGTGTCAGAGCTGTGTCACCTCTGCCTCCAGGACTCACCTTCCTCCCGGTAAAAGCCAAAGTCCTCCCAGGGGCCCACAGGGCCTAGTATGACCTGCCTTCATCTGCCCCTCCCTGCCCTCACCTCCTCCCTCTCTCCCCCTTGCACACTCTGCTTCAGCCACACGGGCCTCACTGTTCCTCCATCATGCCAAGCACCGTCCTGCCCCAGGGCCTTTGCACAGGATGTTCTCCACACCTGAAAGCCTCTTCTTTCAGATACCCACAAGGCCCCCTCTTTATGTCAGGTCTCTGCTAAAATGCTGTCTCCTTAGAGTCTCCCCACCCCCATCACCCTCACCCCTCCCCAGGTCCCAACCCCGCCCCCACATGGTGTCAAACTCTCAAAGCGTCCTTTAGACTCTTTGCTTCTCCAAATAATGGTCCTCCAGCCAGCAGCCTCAGCCTCATTTGAGAGCTCTTAGAATGCAGAGTTCCGTGCCCCCTCCCAGACCCACCCAACCAGAGCCTGCATTTTAGCAAGATCTCCAGAGGCCTGTGTGCACAATAACTCAGAAAATCCGCTTATGCACAGATTCCCCCAAATGAAATAATCACCCACATCATAGCTCATCCAGAGCCTTTCTGCCCCCCTGGAATGTGAGCCCTGTGAGGACAGGCCTGGGTGTATCTTGGCCGGTGACATGTCCCCACAGTGTCTGGCTGAGCTCAATAATGGCTTCTTGTATGTTGATGAACTAAGTGTCAGCACAAGGAATTGAACCCAGATTGGACCTCTTGCCTGATTCAACTTTGCTCATCACCTCCACATGCATGGGTGTCTGTAGGTGGGTGGGTCCCCCCCACGCACGCCCATGGGCCCCGACGTCTACCGCATGTTCTGGCATCTGTGTGTTCACACGCATCCATGGATGCAACCACAGAACAAGTATGTGCCCCGGCAGTGGTGGGCGGTCCACACATGTGTGTGCACATGCCTGTGTGTCCGAGTGTACACACATACCACCCAGGAAGCTTCTGTCTGCACCCCCCTATTGATGACTTCCTGGCTGTTAGTTTCCAAGGACCCCAATTAACTACTGACAGGCCATCTACCCACCCTGCTGCCCTGCCCTGCCCTGCCCTGCCCACTTTCGCTGGCAGGTTGGGGACACTGAGGCCCAGAATGAGGCCCGGACAGGCGACAGTGCCCGCCAAGGAGCCTCAGTTAGCAGCCCAGTCTCCGAAATGCACGGCTAGGTTCACATCCCGGCTCTGCCTCTTACCAGCCTCGAGCGCTCCCACGGTCACTTCCCCTCTCTGTGTCTCAGTTTCCTTACCTATAAACTGTGGTGAATATAAGTCCAAACCTTACATTGCTACGGGGTTGAAAGGACATAGTGTCGACCAGCAACGTACAACAGAAAACCACGCACGCACGTGTGTAGTGTTAAATTTCCTCGTGGCCACATCGCAGAGGTGACTCAGCGGCGGCCCAGCTCCGGATGAAAGGCTGCGCGCGGGGCGGATGCACAGTCACTGGGACCATGGAAGGAACAGAAGGGGTCCCGCGGGTCAGGGGAGGTCGCCTGGGATTCTCCCCCTTGGCCAGACAAGATGATTTCCCTTCTGTAATACGAGGCACTAGGACAGGGCCTGGTCCACATGCTCACTCTATGTGAAGTGACCTTGCTGGATGACCTTGGGCCAGCAGCTAGCCCTCTCTGGGCCTCGGTATCATGGCAGGAACTTGGTGACCCTGGGTCAGCCCCAGAGCCCATTTCTCCCTCTGCCATGGCAAAGGTTGGGGCGAGATGCCCATTTCCAGTTCCATAGAAGGAGCTCCTGTCAGCCCGGCCATCCCAGGATTCCAGCTCCGGGGCCAGCGTCCCTGAGGAGATCGAGTAACCTGGCCTGGCAGCCAGGCCCCTGCACCATCCAGGTCTGGTTACCAGCTCTGCTTACAGCTGCCTCCTCCAGCTGCCTCAGTCGCCCCCGTCGCAGCCGAGCTGGGCTCTGAGCTGTCTAGGAACTTGGCTGAGCAGCTAGAGGGTGTTCCTGGGGCTCTGGGCATGGGGAGGCGGCTGTGGAGGGACCCCCTTGGCCCCTGATGCTCTCTCAATGCCAGTCAACTCATCTCTCCCCAGCCTGGGAGGCGGAGAGTGAATCCTCCTCCATTCCCCACCCTCCTCCCTGTTTCTCCTTCATGATAACCATCACCATCTGGTTATCATGAAAAGTACATGAGGTACGCATAGTAGGTGCTAAATAAACTGTACGGACTGCTGTGCATCCTCGAGTTACATCCTCCCTGTCTCTGGGCTTGCTTCCTCCTCTGTG